CCTAACAAACAATCCTAACATTTCCCGGAATTCCTCCGAGAACATTTCCTCCTGAAGGTGGGGTCATAGTGTCCCAAAGGTAGGGTAAGTATTGCCATGGTGGCACGAAACCAGTCTCTCTAGTAGGGTAACGTGACTTTCTTAGACAGCGTAAACTTACCCAGCCCTCTGACCTATCCTTAGGCCAGAGTGGACATTGTCACGTTACTACCACTACTTAGGTACACCTGTTCCTTAAGTACCTTCTGTTCTTAGGGATATCCGGACCATCAGATATCCCTTGGATATATGTCTGCATACTCACCTAGTCTACCATCAGACCTCTTGGTCTTATGTATGGGCATAGACATAGGTTACCATAGCTCTAAAACGTAGGGTCCTTACATTATTATATTTATACCTCCAAGTTCTTGTCTCCTTCCACCTTCCTTCAATTACTAAACAAGATTATAAGATTATACTTCATCTAACAATCCTAAGGTCTGATCCAATAAAATCTCTTCAACTGAAAAATCTATCAGATCATGTTGTAAAACAATTACATGAAGAGCCAACTGAGAAGGACAGTACTACTACATATACAACACTGTTGTATTTGGATATAAATTTAGGAAAACCAAAACATAAATCAAAAATCTAGTACATAGTTAAAAAAAGAAAGTGTTTTTACTATTAAGGAACTTGAAGTAAGACTTTAAAAAAATAAAAAGCAGGAGAAGAAGAAGACTGTAGCAATTAAGAAAGTCAAAAAGAATATCCAAGTTGTAGTTGATAAAGTAAAAACAGTACTATACTATCCTGTTCTTAATACTTACAAGTTAGAAAAGAAAACCTGATTTATTATAAATTCTATTACTGCAACAGACAGCTCTTAATAGTATATTTAATGTAATTAATCTAGGATTGTAAAGGATAGAAGAAGAAATCAAAGTGCAGAGTATTTATAAAAGATTAGACAAAGTTAGTACTAGTAAGACAAACACCAGAAATGTTAAGATAAAGTACCTAAGCAAAAGTCTTGGTGAAAAAGGCGGGTAAGCGAGAGTGATGCAACCTAACCACAACGGTAACCGATTAAATTCTCCCTACCACATCAACTATGGCACCCAAGACATCATGCAAAGAGCTCACTGGAGTTGCGAAAGGCATGATCCTGGCTTTCTTCGAGGTTTTTCAGCAAATTTCAACGGTTAGCCAGATTGTTGGCCGCCCATGGTCAATAGTCTGGAATTTCCTTGTCTGGTCTCTCCAGCGAAGTTCAATTGAAAACCTCCCATGTTCTGGTCGACTACCCCTGCTTTTCCAGTGAGCCAAGAGATCATTAGTTCGAGGGGCCAAGCTCTACAGGGATTGGAGTAGGGAGAAATTGCGGTAGATATTGGCTCCCAATGTCTCAGTTTCTACAATGGACTAGGCTCTCAGGGAGAGTGGCATTAAGAAGTGGCTAGCCAAGAAAAGAGTAAAGGTTTCACCGGAGCATACTCAGAAGAGGCTGGTCTGGGCTAAGGCGCACCAGAATTAGACTACAGAAGAGTTTGAAGGTGTTATTTGGAGTGATGAATGCTCAGTGGAAAAGAGTAGGGAATCCAAAGCAAAAATGGGTATTCAGATCTGCTTCTGAAAAGTGGCATCCAGACTGTATGAGAGGAATAGGAAAGGGAAAGGGGGTTTCTTTGATGGTCTGGGGATGCTTCTGGGGCAGAAACAGAGAAACCTTGGTTCTCTTAGTTGTGAAATCAGTAGACCAGTGGCTCTACCTCCAACTGCTAGAAACCTGCCTGATTCCAGTCCTGAAGCAAGTCCATGACATCCTTGGTAATCCTATCTTCCAGCAAGACAACTGTACTGTTCATACAGCTCAGATAGTGCAAAATTGGTTTGACCAAAATGGGATTGAGTTGGCTGAACACCCTACTTGTTTACCAGACCTTAATCCCATAGAACATGTCTAAGTTGAGCTGAAGAAAAGACTTCAAATTCAGTATCCTGACATTGCTTCAACACCTGGTGGTCCTGAGAAGGTCAAGCAGAAGCTAGCTGAGATATTATCTATAGTATGGGATACAATATCTTCTGAGTTTTTGAAGCAGTTGTGGAGGTCAATGCCAGACAGAGTTCAAGCAGTTATTGCAGCAAAGGGGTAGTATACAAGATACTAGGAATAACTTTTTTATTTTTTATTTCATCAATATGTAAATAGTGGTCTTACATTTTATTTCCTTTAATCTCTTCTCATTTAAAAGATTTGTTGTTGAGTTATTTCAAAATCTCCACTCACACCAGACCATTGTTGCCATGGCCAAGATACACGATTACTAAGACTTTTGCGTAGGTACCTTAAGTAAAGTACCTCCCCAAAAGTGTTGGTGAAATGACCTTTTTACACCAAAAATTGGCAGGTTTGATCAACCCCCACACCTGGAATTGCTTCAAATAATCCTGCAACCCATATAATTATTTTCACCTTCACTGCAGCTTTTACCTGACATCCTTTATTTTGTCAATTTATTCTATGGGGCTAAACTACAAGTCTCCAAAGTCGACAATACCTGTTGCTATGCCATTTTTGTATGTAAAATGAAGTTTTTCAGTGAAGTCAAAACTTTAGGACTGCATAACTTCTCCAATTCTTCCCCAAAGTTATTAAGAGTTGAGTAGGAGTAGGGTGGGATTACCGTAACTACATACCAGAAGTCAGGTTGTAAAATCTTTTGTGGTTCCTAAACTACCAGTGGTAAAAAATCAATGTTTTTGATGTAAAAAGCCCATTTCACCAACACTTTTGGGGAGGTACTTTAGCAGTAGTATAAAGTACTAGGACAAAAGGGATCGTCTGATCAGTGGTTACCAAGCAACACTGGCACCTCAAAAAACCCCACCCCCTCAATCAACCACCCCTCAACAACCATGCCTTCACAAAAGACAGGTTACCTCACAGACTTTGAGAAAGGGCAAATTGTTGCCCTAAGGGAGAAAAATATTGCATTTTCTGAGATTGGACAGCTTTTACATCGCTCCCAGAGCACAGTTAAAAGTTTTTACAACCGGTATCAAAAGAGGGGTGATGGAAAAAACCTCCCATTTACTGGAAGACCAAAAATTATCAATACCAGAACCTGCCGCCGCCTATTCAGAGAGTCCAAGAAGGGACGCCACCAGCCATTATCGGAATTGCGCAATAATGTTGCACCCCATGCCTCTGTTAAGACAGTCAAGAGAGCATTGGCTTCAGTCAATATAAAGAAGTGGAGAGCAAGGAAAAGAGCATTTCTAAAGGATGAGCATGCTATCAAGAGATTAGCCTGGGCAAAGGAGTATAAGAATTGGACAAAGGAGGACTTTGCGGGAATCATCTTTAGTGATGAATGCATGGTTGAAAAGTTCAAAGATCCTAAGAGTATTTGGGTGTTCAGAACACCTGAGGAAAAGTGGCATAAGGACTGCATTCAAGGAGTTACAAAAGAACCTGGGATAAAGCTGATGGTCTGGGCTTGCATTTGGGGTAAAAATAAGGGTCCTCTGATTCCTATTTTTGACAGGAGTGTGGATAGATTTGTGTATATTGGAGTTTTGGAAGATGGTTTAGTTGATGTCTGGCAGGAGGTGGAGGACACAGTTGGAGATCCTATATTTCAGCAGGATGGTGCAAGGATACATACTGCAAGAGATACTATGGCTTGGTTTGCAGAAAACCATATACAGGTTCTGGAATGGCCACCCAATTCCCCAGACCTCAATCCTATTGAGTACTGTTGGAAAAGGGTAAAGGAAAAGCTGCACCAGCACTTTCCTAACCTTCACAAGACTAAGGGGGGTCCAGATACTATTAGAAGACATCTAGCAGAAGCTCTTGATATAGTTTGGACCCAGGATATTGAAGGAGAATTCTTGGAAAAGCTATGGGAGTCAATGCCTAGGAGAGTGGCTGCTGTTTTAGATGCAAAGGGATGGTATACAAAGTATTGATTTTTTTTCTTTACAATTTCACATAGGAGTTTTGTTATATTTAATGGATGTCTATTCAAATTTTCAGTTCATTTTAAGTAGTTGTGGTTACATAGGTAGCAAATTTATAGTGGTTGTGGGGTTGCCGTTGCTGTGCCGGACGATCCCTTTTGTCCCCGTACTTTAGTGGTGAATTAAACTCAGAAAACTGTTTATGCATATCAACTGATTTAAGTATGATATTAGGAATACTGATTCTCTATCTTTGAATAAAAGCCTTGTAACCTTGGGAAAGAAGATGTATGTAGTTATTGATGGTATTGTTTGGGCCTTTTCAAGACAAAAAAAAAA